GTAGAACGCACCGAGTTCGAAGTCGTCTGCCATAGTAGTAGTCATGATTCTCAGCATCCGACCGCGGACTTGATACATTCTCAAACGTTTCGCCGGCATCGTAGTTTGCATCATCAGTGAGTTTTAACAATTTTGAGTTAACTTTTTCTTTCGTTTCATTAACTTCTTTTCAAGAGTTCACTCATCCAATTTACGTATGCGTTTTTAATTTCTTAAAATGACCTTATTATCCTTAAATTATCTAGCCTATCAAATATGAATCGCCACTCTCAACTACGGGAACTCCTATGCGGCGTGCCAAGACACCGATTATTCCTGATCTTCCTCTGAGGGGCTACCTTGACGTGGAACCACTTTTGACTACTTCTCAGGTTCAAATAACTCATTCAAACAGCTTTAATACAGTTTCTTCATGCTGTCACCCCAGCCAGGAGCCACTTCCTTGCATGGATTTAGGCTTATCTTCTTCGCATCTGTCTTCCACTAGATCAAAGCTTCTTTCAAAAACTGACTTCACATATTTTCCTATAATAGAATCTTCTGAGGGAACTAATGTGGCAAATTTCGCCCCCCTCATTTATCAAGCTAGTGAGCATCACAACTTTGCTGTCAGTCAGGTAAGTCCTAATTGTGCTGGTGTACGTCTTAATTTATAAACCTCTACTTCTCGGCTGAGATTTTTTCCATCAGCCGAAATTCTCTGCATTTATGTGGGTTAAAATATAGACTGTTTTTGCTAAGAGTAGACGACTTGAGAGTTCAACGTTTTTCATACTGATTCTAGATTCGTGACATTGTTTGCTTTAATACATTTCGCTTTAAATGGTTGTTTATTTAATAACATTTTTCACTATATTTAAAGCAAATATTAGAAAATGCTTCTATTTTTGCAGTATTCTTGTTTGTATGAGATCTTTATAGAAGATGCATTTTCTGCCATTACACATATACTTTCTTCCATCTTCAGCTCGATATCGGGTCGCTCTCTATCTTACGACTCATCATTTTGCTGACATTAACAATAAAACTATTTTTTCTATTTCTTCAGCCCTGTGCTAGTAAACAGTTCTCAATATAATTTGTATTTTGTGGGCAATCTTAGATGTAAAAAAATTAATTTTTTTACTACTATTACCCTGTTTAGCATCTAGCATAATCATTTATGTGAGGAGTCTCAGGGGCTTAATATTGGAAATTGTTTTTTCTTTTTCATCTGATCTCATATACTATTATTACTAGTTTAATTAAAGAACTATTTTTCTATCCATTTAATATCTTATATATTATTTCGAACTCTTAAAAATAAAGTTTTAAAAATCCTTGAATATAAATGAATATATAGTTGTTTAAGATGTATATTCATAATATCCAAGTAATGTGATTGAATATATGAAGACCAAGATGTTGTGGCCTCTGGTGTGGTCGCAGTCTCCTTTCGATTGATA